ATAGTCTTATGAAAAATCCTTTTATACAGTACTTTTTATGCAGTACTACTACTACACTGCAGGGCAGTCTGGCTTTTGCTAGTGGCACTACATTGGAGCCTAACCCAGCATATGCTAGAGCAATAGATGATACTCATATGTATGATAGTGTTCAATTGTTACAGATAAAGAAAACCAATGCAACAACTATCAAAAATGAGTAATTATAAATTTTTTATCTTTTAATTTATTGTTTTTTTTTTAATTCTGAATGTATACTATCAATATCATATACTGGAATATTTTTGAGTTGCATAGCTTGCAAACTGCACCATGTGGCCATGAAGATGTAAAATTTCAAATCAATGGAACAATTTGTAAAAAAATTGGCTACTAAAAAATTTCAGTATATGGTGTGCCTGAGACGTAGTTAAATTAACCGTATAGCAAAGACAATAATTATGCTCTGTATTCATGAAAAAGAAACAAGAACTTTCAATAAAAGTTCATAATTCTACTTTGTTTATATAACTCATGTGATCAATGCTATGAATACTATTTCACCATAGAGATGCTGTGTAAGGCAGTTCTGCTTTTTTTTGTTTTCCTACCAAAACGTACTTAAAATAATGTCACTATTTTATATATTATCCTAATAGGTACTGAGCAATGTACAGAGAGGTTTATGGAGCTACCACTAGTGACATACAGAGCACAGAGAATAGGAATGACTGTATCTCAAACCTTTGTGGGTAGTAATAGACTGAGAGTCCTTCAAGAGTATCAGTTCAATTGTTCATCCACTAATATAACCAGTCTTATATTGGGTATTGATATAAGGGAAGCTACTAATAGTCGTAATCTCTATCCCAGTGTCCAGGTCTTTAGACCTAATGGTAGTCTAGTGACTGGTAGTGAGAGAGCTATTTATTATTCTACCTCTAATGTCAGTACTAGTGGAGTGTTTGAATATCCCCTCAATCCTCCTATACCAGTAATGAGTGGAGACCTGTTAGCTGTATCACAACCACTTCGAGGAAATAGTGCTGTTAGAGTCTACTATATCAGTGGCATAACAGCAAATAGTCAAGAGTTTAACTATGACGATACAAATGTTGACTTAAATAAAAGTCCAATCACAAATCAGTTGATATTACTATATCCAGTAACAGGTAAGACACACACTCACTGTATCATTGAATTATTTTACTATCATTAGATGAATACTGTGTTAATAGTGCCAATTCAATCAATGCTTCATTTATTAAAGAGAAAACACTTGAAGTACAAAGATCACAAGTCTTCTTTCGCCAAAGCCAACACATTTATCCATGGATTGTATTCTCATGTA